CACTCCTGGAGAGAGAGAGGGCAAACAATCCAGAGGCAGAGAGTGTGAAAATAGCAATCTGAAAAATGCCTGGGACACACAGCAGGGAGATTATTTGCTCTTCCCAGAGTGCTTCCCTGAGAGGCAACGTGCATGGAGGTGGCTCTCCAGGGACAAAAAAGTTGACTGGTGCCATTTCCTTCCGCTGCCCCTCAGCATAAACACAGAGCCACCTATGGTAGGTTGGCAGCCAGCACAGACACTGGCTGCCTAACCGGATTACACCAAGTTTCACACTCCTACACTCTGGTGGTGCTGCCCTTCTCCATAAAGCTTTTAGTTAAAACTCACCACATACTGACCAAGGACCAAACACTGCCCACTTCAGGCAAGGAGAGACTCTGCAGATGACTGGCCCCAAAGGATAGAGCAGCCAAAATACAGCAGCAGAGTGCATGCAGCACACTTTGGAGACACTCCCTGAAGCACCAGACCCTGGCCACTATATGATCTCTTCTTCATAAAATCACTACTCTTAGAAGCAGGAAACATAACTGGTTTTTCTAACACAGAGAAGAGGGCAGAGACTTAGACAAAATGCCAAGACAGAGGAATTTATCCCAAATGAACAAGATAAGGTCACTGCCAGAGATCTAAGTGAAACCAATATAAGTAACATGCCTGATAGAGAATTTAAAGCAACAATCATAAGGATACTTTCTGGGCTTGAGAAAAGAATGGAAGACTTCAGGGAGGCCCTTACCATAGAGATAAAAGAGTTAAAAAACAATCAGAGATTTCAGTATATACAGATTATTGTCATGATATTTGCAATTAACATAGTAACTATATTTAAGACTCTAATTTTCACTAAACTTCCCCCTATTATTTTTTACCATTTTTAATAGGATTTGCCTGTTCTGGACCTTTCATATAAATGGAATCATATAATATGTGGTCTTTTGTGATATGTGGCTTCTTTAGCATAGTTTCTAAGGTTCATCCATGTTGTAGCATGTATCAGTACCTAATTCCCTGTTATTGCCAAATAGTAATTCATATTACGGATTTTTAAAATTTGTTTTATTTTACTTATTCATTCACCAGTTGAAGGGCATTTGGGTTGTTTTCAGTCTCAGATTCTTGTGGATAATACTTCTATGAACATTTATGTATAAGTTTTTGGTGATACCATTTCTTTTTAGGAGAGAAAAATTATACGTATCCACAATTTGAATATACTTTTGGTTTTCTTTCTATTTACCTTGCTTTCTTATGATGGGATTTCAAAGCTTAATTTTTTCATAGTGAAGGGGTGTATCTTTGATAAACCTCATTACTTGCCTGTTTTATCATTATACAAGTTCCTTGTAGGTCACACAAATCAATACTCCTATATTATAAAACAGAGTGGCAAAAAAAAAAGTTCAGATTAATTGATAAAAATTTATTATGCAGACCAAGAAAGCCTTGGCGAAGAAAGATATAAAGAAGAACCAAATGGAATCTTAGAACTGAAAATATATAATAACTAAAATTTAAGAGCCCAATAGATGGTCTCAAGAGCATAATAGAGAAGACAGAAGAATCAGTGAACTTGCAGATAGAACAGTAGAAATTACCCAACCTGAACAAAAAGAGAAAATAGATATTTTAAAGAAATGAACAGAATCGGGGTGCCTGAGTGGCTTAGTCGGTTAAACAGTTAAACATCTGCCTTCAGCTCAGGTCATGATCCCGGAGTCCCAGGATTGAGCCTCTCCCTGCTCAGCAGGGAGTCTGCTTCTCCTTCTTCCTCTGCTGCTCCCCTGTTTGTGCTCTCTCTCCCTCTCTCTCTTTCTCTTTCTCTCTCAAATAAATACATAAATAAGGTCTTTAAAAAAATGTACAGAATCTCAGGGACCTACAGAATTTTAACAAAAGACCATTTCTTATTCCTCTTGCTAAATACAACTCAACACCATGGTCATTATATATATAAAGCAAATACCCTAAAAAGATAAGAAAAGGAGGCAGAAGGACTAGGTATCTTAGGAATGATACAACAATCTGTTCCCTGAGTTGTCTTTTTGCCTGATGCATCCAGACTGGGTACTAGAGAAGCCAGCAACCCAGAAACACCAATGGAAGCAGATAAAAAATGCCCCAACAGAAGCCAGCTCTCTCTAGACAAAGGTCCAGGAAAGGGGCAACCCTAGCAATGCAGAAACAATACCTGCCAACCACAGCCAAACAGCATAGGGGAAAAAAACCTCCACCTGCTTTGGAAAGTCTTGACTTCTATCCTTTCCCAGCTTCAATGTGGCGTCTTTCCGTTTCCCATGCTGAGATGACATCAGGGAAGACCAAGTAGGGACCTAGCACTTCTATCCCCACCTGGCAGTAATGGATCCACACTGCTCCCCTCCTTGCAGTGTCTGAGGAGGTGTCAGAAGGAACCCAAAAGAAAGCCAGAGTTTTCACCATCATTCAACAGTAATGAGGCCACCCCAGCCCACAGGGTCAGTGAGACCACAGAGGAAACCTGAAATCCACCTCCACCCAGAAGTAATGAGGTCCTCCTTCCCCAGGGTTTAAAATGAAACAATGTGGTGAACCTGGACTTCCACCCATACGTGGAAGTAAAGAGGGGTATTCCCTTTTCCCTGGCAGCATTGTGTCAAAGGAGATCTGCTAAGACACAAGTTTTATACAAGATCCACAGTCTCATAACATAATACCCAAAATATCTAGGATGAAAAAAAATATATACATCATACCAAGAACCAGGAAAATCTGCACTTGACTGAAAAAGATGGTCAACAAATGCCAACACCAACATAAGAAAAAAGGTTGGAATTCTCTGACAATAATTTTAAAGCAGCCATTATAAAAATATAATGTAATAAGTAATTACAGACACACTTGAAACAAAGAATAAAAGGTCTTGGCAAAGAAATAGAAGATATAAAGACAAACCAAGTGGAAATCCTAGAACTGAAAATATATAATAACCAAAATTTAAGAGTCTAATGGATGGCCTCAACAGCACAATAAAGAAGACAAAAGAAAGCATCAGTAAACTTGAAGATAAAAAAATAGAAATTACCCAATCTGAAAAACAAAGAGAAAATATATTTTTTGAAAAATAAACAGAACCTCAGGGAATTCTAGGACTTTAACAAAAGAGCTAACATTTGGGTCATCTGAGTTGCAAAAGGGAAAGAGAAAGAAGGTGGAGCTAAAAAAATATTCCCATAAATAATGTTTGAAATTTTCCCAAATTTTGCAAAAGACAAACTGCAGATTCAAGAAGCTGATTGAACCCGAAAGACAATAAACTCAAAGAAATTCACACCAAGATAATTATCAGACTTCAGAAAGGTGAAGACAAAGAAGAAATTTTGGAACAGAAAAGAGAAATGACACATTACTTATAAGGGGAAAATAATTTGAATGACAGCAGATTTCTCATCAGAAATCAGAAAGGCCAAAAGGAAATTGCAGTCATTTTTCAAGTGCTAAAATAAAACAGCTGTCAACTAGAGTTCTAATCCAGTGAAAATATCCTTGAGGAACGAAGAGTAACCAAGACATGCTCACATGAAGGAAAGCTAAGAGAATTTATCATCAGCAGACTTACTCTAAAAGAATTGGTAAAGGAAGTTATCTAATAGAAAGGAAATGATAAAAGAAGGAATCTTGGAATATCAGGAAGGAAGAAACAGCAACAGAAAGACCAAAAATATGAATAAATAGAGTAGACTTTCCTTCTCTTGAATCTTTAAATGATTTTTGACAGTTGAAGCAAAAACTATAATATTGTCTTATATAATTTTCAATGTATGTAGAGGAAATATTAAAACAATTATAAATGGGGGAGGTTAAATATAGCTTTCTACATTTAAACTGGTAAAATGCCTACATCAGTAAACTAATCATTATATATGTATAATGTAATACCTAGAGCAACCACTAACAGAAAGAGATATGCTCAAAAATAATATAGATAAATAAAAATGGAACTCTAAAAACTGCTCAAGTATCCCACAAGAAGGCATGAAAGAGAACATAGAAAAATTAAAAAACAGACAGAAAATTAATAATAATGGCATGCTTAACCCCTAAGATACCAAAAATTACATTAAATGGAAATGACTTCACATACTTTATGATTTAATTTATATAAAATTCTTGAAATGACAAAATTATAGATATGGAGAGATGGTTACCAGAGGTAGGGATGGTATGGGGAAGTGGTAGCCCAAGGGAGATCTTTGTGGGGATTGAACACTTCTGTGTCTTGATTGTGGTGATGGTAACACATATGATTAAATGACATAACTATACATACACATTTCCATCAACAGAAAGACACTTTGTCCCCATTTATAGTTATTTCTCACTTCCACCCATAGCTCAGAGCAGCCAGTAATCTTTCTGTCTTTAAAAGATTTGCCTATTCTTGGCATTTCATGTAAACAGAATCATACAATATGGAGTCTTTTGTGTCTGGGTTCATTTATTTAGCATAACGGTTTTGAGGTGCAGTGATGTTTTAGCATATATCAGTGCATCATTCCTTTTTATTGCTGAATAGTATTCTGGTGTATGAATATACCATATTTTGTATATCCATTCACCAGTTGGTGGACTTTTGGGTTTTATGACTAATCCTGTTAGGCAAGTTGTCACTACGGTTTTTAATGCACTCCATACAACACAACAGGCATAGCCCTTTATCTGGAAATAATTGCTCATGAGAAATGATGGGAACTAAATGGTGGGGAACTATAATTCCCAGTGCTATAGCAGACTCATGTCCCCATTTGTAAAACTTATAGAGTAGAACTGAACGGATACCAAGTTCCATGAATAACATCTATTTATCAACTCATCTAGCACTGCTGTAATAACAATAATAAAATGTATTGATTACTTATTTTGTGCCAGGCACCATGTTTAACACTTTAAATGAATTATTTATTTAATCCTCAAAATAGTTCTATGAGGTATGTATTATTATTATCTCTGTTTTCCAGGTAGGAATACTGGGGTTGAGAAAGGAATAGTAATTTACCAAAGGACACACAATTGGTAAGTAGTACAGAGTCCTAACCACCTCGTGGTAATGTTCTCCACTTAATGTTGAAGCCTATCTGTGTGGAGGATCAAAAATGCCAGGCTAAGGAGTTTTGATTCTATTCTATAGAACATGGAAATGCACTGAAGATTTTTGAGCAGGGAAATGACATCATCAGAACTGCACACTTCCCTGACATTGTGAAGTCAGATAATTTGGAGGGAGGAGACTGTGATGACAGACCAGTGAGATGGCTCTAAAAATAGTTAAATCAAGAGTTCCTGAGAGCCTGACATAGAGTAATGAAAATAGGAATAGAAAGGAAGGAAATTATTCCCAAAAAATTTCAGAGGTAGCCCCAAAATAACATAACAATAGGTTGATTGCAGAGGACAAGGAGATAGGTAATTTATTTAATCCTTTAAATGAATAATCTTTTGTAACTATAGAATCCAGCACAGAGCACAGTTCAGCAAAACTTGCATGAAGCAGGAAGAGCAAAAATGACAAGAGTTGGCTCTCACTAAGTGCTTGCTGTGGTCTCGTTTAAATGAGTTACTCGAATTTTTCAAGCCTAGCAAAATTATAGTGTCATTAACAACCATTCTCATAAGAGGAGAAAATGTTGTCAGGAATTCTATAAATCCATTCCATTTTAACATGCTTAGTTGGGATCATAGGAAGACATCCAGGTGGTGATGTTCAAAAAGCAGTTATTAATATGACACTGGAGATTTGGAGAGAGGTCAGAATAAGTGAGAGAGATTAGAAGCATTCAAGTAGAGGATGTAATCTGTGTCTTGGAATCACTGAAAGAAAGAATTGTGAAAAAGGTGAAGATTATTACTCATGTAATGAAATGAGCAAACTTTAGAAATTATATATTTACAGTTATGATATGGATAGGGCCTATAATGGACAAGATAGTCTAGGTCATGTTGAGATGACAGAAAGATCCCCAAATCTTGTGGAATTTCACATTCCCATTAGTGGCTGATCAGATGAAACTGATCTAAATGTACTTTAAATTAAAATTCAAATGGTTCTGATTTAAATGTCTTGAAGTCTATTATAGTCTTATGGAGAAATAGTATTATTGAAGTAGAATTCTACATGTCCCAAGAATTTAAGCTATACTAAATTAAAATTTATCATTTCTGTGGTTTGACAAAGCTTATTTTTTAATTCAGGACAAATTATTGAGTTATGATCACTTGGTCAGAATTTGATAAGTATTTACTGAATTAAAAAAAAATGGGTTTCTCTAAAAAATTTGCCTGTCAGGGATCAATCACCTCTTCCATAAAGTCTTCAAGAGTGTTCAAAATAGTGTTAAGGAATATATCTTATTTCACCATAAAAAGGAATAACTTCAGTACGAGTGAAAGAAAATGCAGTTATCTTCAAAATATATATAACCAAGCTATGTTTAAGAGACAAGTCAGTACACAAAATTATTCCTAAATAACTTGGCAGAGCAATCAAGCAGTGTCTCCTTAAAATAATCAGGTAAGTAGACCCTAGGTTTATAATTTTCTGTCTCAATTGGTAAGCAGTTCTTGGGATTTCAAATCAATTATTGGAAGCTGCCAGTGAAAACAGTGATTTAGGGTAAACTCCCCTGGTGTATTCTTAGCATCCTGCCACAGGAAAATATTTAGGTGCTTGAAGATTCCAGTGTGCTATGAAACAATGACACTGAAAAGTTTCAATCTATCCATGTGATTAGACTGTTAGTTTAAAATGTTTGGAAGACCCTTATTGCTTAGAAGACACAGACATTCTTAAATAAAAGTGCACTATACAGAAGGATTTATTTATTTTAAGAGAGACATAGGTTATTTTTTAAGTGAGAAAAATACCTTGAAATTCTTTTAGACATTTTTACCTTACAAAAGAAGACATTTAGATATTCTCTCCAAATAGCAGTTTTATTCTAATCCTTAGCACCAAATGCTATCATCAAGAACTTTCCTTTCCTGTTAGAGAATTTTTTTTTTAAATCTCAAGCATGGTCTTTTTAACTCGTTCTAAAAATGGAAATTTCTGAATTCAGTTTAAATTCTTAGTACATGTATCTTTAATGAACAACTTCCATAATGATTACAGTGTCTCTAGTGGCCCTTGATTTGTCTTAGAATTCTCTATTTCTGTTCTTTGCATCCTAGTATCCCTAATGAAATGAATGAATGTACAGTCATAGATTGGAGTTTTAATCAAAGTTTGAAATTTAATTCTTAATTTTGCCTGAAAAACATCATGTCAAATTTATCTGTGTCTATACTGTTTTATTGTAAAATGGTTCAAATTATTTTTTCATCAAATAAGTTGAGATATATCATAATTGCCCCCCCAATGGTTTTTCAAAATCACCCTCTAAGCATACCAGAAAAGAGTGTTTCTAACATATTTCTAACAAAAAGTGGAACATTTGTAAAGGTAGAGAAAAGAAGGCAAGTGGATGATGCTGCCAGTCCCTGCATGATCCAACAAGGTCTGGCTGCCAACGGTGAGGAACAAATTTGTAGGAACAAATTACAGACTCAGTCTCCCCAGTCTCAGACTAACAAGATCCAAGGCTGACTGCCCATGGTCCTATCCACTCTACAGATTTAGGAATGGCTTGGTTCCTGCTCAGCTGGACAGGGAGCCCCTGGACACCTGAATGCCCCTGAACTTCAGCCTTCCCTGTACTCTCTGCCCTGTGGACCAGTCTGTGTTTCAGTCTGCTGTTCTTGATCCAGGTTCATGCTCCACTTCTCAAAAAGACTGCCACAAGCACCCCACTGATTGGACTGAGCTAGCCCAGTCCTGCTTTAACCCAGTCAGACTCCCTGCCTGATACGTCTACCAATGAGACTATAGACTAAATACAAGTTCAAAGTGAATGATAAATGTTCCTACCCCTTTCAACAAAATGACATGGCAGCCCAACCTATATTCAGGGTCTTCCCTGTACCTCACCTATTCACTTCACAGGGAAGCCGTTTGCCTTTGCCCCCGTGAGCCCTGCAGTCTGTCACTCTGCATACCCTGGATGTGACAGCATATACCAGATGGCCACAAGATTAGCTGGATTTGTGAGCGATTACCAATTAAGTTGCTGATGTGGAAGAGTTAACAGACAGCTAATGCAAGGAGTTGAATCCCAGGCTGAGAGATTGAGGTCTGCTACAACAGAACTAACACAGATTTTTGAGAAGAAAAAAGGACAAGACAAAAATAGTATTCAAGATGATATGCTAGTAGCAGAATGTAATGTAGACAGAGGATGGAAAAGACTGGCGAGAGAAATAGGGCATAAAAACAGATCTGTAATAAACAAATAATTGGCCTAGAATAAAATGGCAGTTCCATCACAAAAGCAAAAGATAAGATAAATTTTAAAGAAAGAATCTCCAGCTATTGCCACTCAGTCAATGAACTTGCCAAGCACTGTTCTAAGCACTGGAGAGACAGCAATGAATGAAGCACAGCCTCTGGTCTCCAGGAACCATCATTATAAAGAGAGTGACTAAAAATGAGAGGGGCACTGGTCATCACTTTATTCAACACACATTCTCTAGCTTCCTCCCTTTGTGCCTTCCTCAGAGAGGTTAGAGAGTCAGATACTCACCTCCCAATCTCTCAAGTCGGTAAACTAGAGGATCTTATTTAAGCCAAGACAGTGTAAGGGAAGATCTAAAGGGGCACTTCTAGAAACTTTTGCTTTTTTTATAAAAGAAACAGACATAGCTGGTGTCACCCCTTCCTGCCTGAAACATGAAAGTAATACATGGAGCTAGCAGGAGACAACAGCATAAAGATAAAACACACTAAGGATGGCCAAGGAGGAAGATAGAAAGAGAATCCTGATAACTGTATGAGCAGCTGGGCTCACCTGGCAACCATCTAACTTTTCCTGTTACATAAGAAAAATTAACTCCATTCCTGATACCAACTGCTGGAAGAGAACTCTGTGGCAAAGCAACCAAATCTGACTCTGGAGGATTACAAAGAAAAGGAGTCTTTTAAAGAATATTGAGTGGTTCATAGGCTCTGTGAGAGGTCTAAAGAATGAGGCTCAAACTTAAGATTCCAGAAACAACATACAAAACTTTCATAGGACTGGCCTGATGAGAGGGCACCTGGGTGGCTCAGTCAGTTAAACTTCTGCCTTTGGCTGAAGTCATGGTCTCGGGTTCCTGGGATCCAGCCCCGCATCAGGCCCCCTGCTCGGCAGGGAACCTGCTTGTCCCTCTCTCTCTGCCCCTCCCCTCCCCCTCTCCCTCTGCCCCTTCCCTCTGCTCATACATGCTCTCTTTCTCTCAAATAAATAAATAAAATCTTTGTTAATTAATTATATAAATAAATAAATAAAAAGAATTGGCCTGATGAGGAAATCACCTGCCTGCCACAGAGCCTAAGGTGCTACAGCTTGCGTTCTTGTTGCTTTTCTACCAGGAAAACAACTATACTGCAAATAAGACCAACCTAGGACAGTCACCTCTGCTATCACCCTAACCAAAAAATCAATTCCACAAGGAACCTACTGGCCTACCTTATTCACTTCCAACCTGCACAAGTGCCTGTGCCTTAAGGGGAAAATAATGAAACTATGTAGCTTGTTTGGTTACTACAGGAAGAAATAATCTTTGCCCTTGGAAGATCCATAAAGTGGCAATCTTTCAAACTCAAAAAGGGATTCAGTTGCTAAGAACCTAAAATGAATTGCAAATATACACTGGTGGGTTGTTTGCAAAAAATTATTACCATTATGTATTTACCTATAGCCATGCCCCATTACAATGAAATCTGTAAATCAAGAGGTGATGTCTATTCTCCACCCCTTGAATTTGCACAGCTTTGACCAATAGAATTAGGCAGAAGTGACATTATGCCAGCACCAAAACCTCAAGAGAACTGGTATACTCTGTTCTGAGAATCCTATTATCCACTATATGAATAAACTTGGGCTGGCCTACTAGATGATGAGAGAAACCTAGTCCAGGTACCCCAGTCACCCCAGCCAACAGGCAACCAGCCCTCAGAAGCAGAGCCACCTACCTGACCATAGATGCATGAATAAGCCCAATCTAACCCAGAAGCCACTCACTTGAGCCCAGTCCAGTTGGCTCACCCAAAGAAGTGTGACCTCAGTAAGTGATTGTTTTAGCCACTAACTTTGGGGTGATTTTCTATGTCATTAAAGGCTAAAATAAGAAGAAAGAAAAAAATTAGTAAATAAGATAATTTCAGGTACAGAAGTGATTTGAAAAAGATAAAATAGGTTAATTTAGTAGAAAGTGATAAGGGCCACTCAGTTTCTCAGAGAAGTCCTCTCTAAGAAGGGACATTTAAGATGAAACTTAAATCTGAAGGACAAAAAAAAAAAAAATGCTATTTAAAGATATAGAAGAAATGTGTTCCAAACAGAAGGGATAGCATGTGCAAAGGCCCTGAGACAGAAATGAGGCCAGTATGGCTGGAAAATATGAACAAAGTAGAGCATAAAGAAAGGTGACATCAGAGGAATAGAAAGAGACCAGATTGTTTAGGGCTGTCTAGGCCATGGTAAGCAGTTTGGAGTTTACTTACCAAGTAATCTGATTTACATTTTAGAGAGTCTACTCTGGCTGCTATGAGGAGGATGGATGTTAGAACTGCTGTAAAGACTGGAGCCTTGTTAGATAGTTACTACAGTAGTGATGGGAAGTCTTTGTACCTTCTGCTCAATTTTGCCATGAACCTTAAACTGCTCTAAAAAATGAAGTCTATTTTTTTTTTAATTGAGGGGGAAACGAAAGAATAGATCTTTAAGAGATAAGTAGGAGAACGAGATCCAGGCAGGGAGGAAGTCAACAGCACCTGATACTTAATGCCAAGCCCAGCCTCCAGAGTCACTGGGCCTCCATAGGAAGCAGCATGGTAGAGTGGAAACAGTGGGGACTTTAGGATCACGCAGACCTGGAACTGGATCTAAAGGCCACCACTTATTAATTGTATGCACTGGGGTGAATTACTTACCCATCTGAGCCTCCCTATCTTCTATAAAATAGAAATAAAAATAACTATGTCATAGGCTACTGTCACAGTTCAAGGTGTAGCATATCAAAGTGCCTAGCCAAGTCCTTTTTAAATGGTAGACATTCTAGAAGTGTTTGTTTAATTCCCTTACATTTTACTTCCCAGATGGAAGATCCAGTATCTGAGTAAAAACTAAAAACAAAGGGACACTGAAATCAAAGTAGACCTATGTCTGGAGCTGTTGTAAAGTCAACAACCTTCTTTCTTCCTATAAATCTCACTCAATAGCATGTCCCCCCAATACTCTCAATTACCTATACCTACAGGCTGCCGACACTGGCTTGTGACCTAACATGACAATTATAAAACTTTGGGCTAAACTGAAATACTAGCTTGTGTCCTTTTCTGTTGCCAAAGCCCATTATCCAGTTCCTTCTTGGGTCCTGCCTCCTGCCGTGGTAAGATCCTAACACTGCAGCTACTTTCCTAAACTCCAGCCCAACTGCTTGCTCTAATCTTCAAAACTTGCTTCCTGTACCAGTCTAGATTCTGAGCCCAGCCAACTCTGAACGTCAGTGCCATGATTAAAGTTCTCTGGGCCCCTCCCATTGCTTCTCCATTCTTGTATTTGCTTTTTCACACACAACTCCCTCCCATACACTCACAACCAGTTGCACTCCTCTGTGAGCGTCCATCCTGAAAGCCTTGTCCACTGCTGTTGTCCACTGTCCATTGTTTCTGCAAGATTGCTGCTTTAATATATACAACACAAAGTATTCTGCATTTGGACTGGCTTTCCATCCCAGGGAATAATTTAAAATGAAAGTTGCTCCATAATCTGCAGCTATATTCGCAACATAAAGTCACAGGCTGACCTGCCAATGGATATTAAATTCCTTATCAAAGGTGGATTAACTCTACTCTAAATGTAATTCAAAAATAGCAGTGGCCATAAGGCAACATGATGGGACAGCTTTGCTTTGTAGGAGGAGAAATTTGCAAGACAGGATTTAAAATGGACTAAACTTAACAGTATGAAATGGCATTTTTGCTGTAATTTTAAGCTTTGTAAGTAGAATTTATAAATGTATCTGAGGAGAAAAAAAACACTGAGAAGACTAAAGAAAAAAAATACATTCGAAAATACAGAAAAGAAAGACATCTTTCCATAGACTCACAGAAAGTAGAAATGGAAAAAGTCCTTAGGCCACCTTGTTCATTTCCCTGCCAGCATAGCTCACTCTCAAGTGTTTGTCCAGTCTAATTTTAGATGACCTAAGAGTTTTGGTTTCAGGCACTTCATTTGTAAAGCTATTCTGCTAACAAACCTCCATAAGTTGTCAACCCTTCCAGTTCTTCAGCCTAAATTTCCAACTTTCCAGGAGGTTCCAAAGGTTTTCTTGGCCTTCCCTGACTGCACCATCCAGATACAGTACTAGAGGGAGAATTTCCTCTTCCTTGTCAGATCTGCCTTTAAAATACCTGAGAAATGTGAGAATGCGACCTCACCAAAACCAGGATAGGCATTCTCTAAAGATCCCTGGGCTGGTACAGGAGAACTCAAGTCCTGGTTTCCTTATTTTCAATATTACAAACCATGCCAGAGGCTTAAGTATGCCTAAGTTACATTTTGCTTCCCACTGTTCAAATAGTTCATTGAAAGACATAATAAACACTACCAGTTATTAAATGGCTAATACATACCAGTCATTAAGCCAAGTGCTTTATATGCACTGACTCTGACCTTACAACAACCCCATACAACAGTTATTTCTCTCATTCTACGTAAGAGGAAACTGAGACTTGTCTTGGGTCCCTTGGCCATTTAAATGCATGTTGGAGCCAATATTTCAGTTAAGTCCATCTGACTCAAACCCTTGCTTTTTCTGCTGCCCTCTGCTGTTACTGCTGCACCATTGTCAGAGAGTATTAACACCTGGTCTGGGGCTCTCCAAGTCCAAACAGAATCCAGGCAGAATGTGAAGACAGGGATGAAGCAGCAGACTACATTTCCCAGCAGATAAACTGCCTCTAACAATTCTGGAGACAGGCTCAGAGAGAAGTAGGTGAACACTGTAGGTCCGTGTGTGCAGACCAATTTTGAGGAAGGGGTTGGTGAATAGAGTTAACTTGTGGGAATGAGGAACCTAGACTCAGAGGCTAGGGGAATACCAGGGTATGGAATGGGGTCTAAAGTTCCCAGCTTCCCTAACTGGGGATGACCAGAGTCAGGGAACAGCAGTTCCTGATACTCAGCAACCACATGTACATTGCTGATCATTCCATGGTGGCTTCAAGGATTCTGGATCTATCCAAGGCTTCGAATCAGGGTCTGAGCAGACTTATGGGACCAGGAAGCTGACTCAGACCCTAAGAGGAATAGTAGGACTCATTCCTGCAGCTGACTCAATAATCCCAAACACCCCCGATTAACAAAGGATGGAGATATGCCACAAGTCACCAAAGCCTACTTTAACCAAAGTGGCAAGGGAGGAGCGCATCTGCCCAAGAAGGTGAGTCATTAACACCTCCCTGCTCTTGGGCCTTCAGAATTAATTCTACATTTCAGCTTCTTGAATCTTTATGGGTAAAACGTGCCAACTAGACTCAACATCAGTTTTCTTAGTTTTTCTCCCTCATTTGGAGGGAAATGTTGAGAATAATCAAAGAAACCTGACTATAGCTACTGATTTGCAGCTGTGTGTCTACTGAGATAACACAAGTGGAATCTGGACACTTCGAGCCCCTGACTTCACTTTCCTAGACAAAAGCTATGTTGATTAGATTGGCAGTTCCTGAAACAACACACCAACACAGCTCTTCAAACTTGATGCAGATTTTGAATTGGAACTCTCATTGACTGCATATCCAACCTTCAGAATGAAGCAGTGGAACAAAAAGAATTGGAAATTTAATTAAGAATGCTTATTTGGGCTCTTCCCCTAAGTGGCCTGAGGTGACCTCTGAAAATGGTTTGCTATTTGCTTGACCCAGAAAACCCTACGAAATCATGTAAATCAAGAGGTTCAAATCTTCGTGTTCACTTTAAGAACACAAGTGAAACTGCCCAGGCCATCAAGGGTATGCATATCCGAAAAGCCACCAAGTATCTGAAAGACGTCACTTTACAGAAGCAGTGTGTGCCATTCTCTCGCTACAGTGGTAGAGTTGGTAGGTGTGCCCAGGCCAAACAGTGGGGCTGGACACAGGGTTGGTGGCCCAAGAAGAGTGCTGAATTTTTACTGCACATGCTTAAAAATGAAGAGAGTAATGCTGAACTTAAGGGTTTAGATGTTGATTGTCTGGTCATTGAGCACATCCAGGTCAACAAAGCCCCCAAGATGAGGCGTAGAACGTACAGGGCTCATGGTCAGATTAACCCATACATGAGCTCTCCCTGCCACCTTGAGATGATCCTTACTGAAAAAGAGCAGATTATTCCTAAACCAGAAGAGGAGGTTGCACAGAAGAAAAAGATATCCCAGAAGAAACTGAAGAAACAAAAACTTATGGCCTGGGAGTAAATTCTGCAGAATAAATGCAAATTTAAAAAAAAAAAGAATGCTTATTTGGGGAAATGATTTCATTTCCCTCATTTTTCAAAGGACAATAAATCTATTTCTAAGAAGGGCATGAGCAGACGAGTTGGAGTCCCAGCCCTATGGCTTATAGCATGTACAACTTGTGTTGAGGCACGGAACTTTCCTGAGACTGTTTTGTCAGCTGAAAAATGCCTACACTAATACCCAGCTCACAGTGTGCTGTGAGAATCAAATGAAGTAACTTGCTTAGTCCAGTGTCTTGTGCTTAACCAATGCTAGAGTCCTTCCTTTGATTCACTGGACCAAAGAACAGAGCAGTCATTTTATGAAGCCATAATATAGGATATTTTTATTTGAAAGGAACCATAGCATCCTGGGACTTTTGTTAGAAATTTTAAAATATTTCACTTCCAGAGCAAAAATCCAAGGTAAAAGAAATGAAATATGGAATTACTTTTGTATACTTTCAACTAATTTTTGTCTACTAATATTCTTTAAGAAATTACTTGATTCCTCCGAGCCATTTCTTACTCTATATTTAGAAAATATTCCAATGCTTCCAACTTTTCCTTTCTGAAAATGTCTACCAAGTTTCTGATCAATGGAATTTATCCAAGTCTGATGTTATCAACGTACCGTGTGAAAAGCCAGTGGAGTACCCTGAGGAAGTGCATAGGTTGACAGTAGATACACCTGGATTTGAACCTCACCTGTACACTTTCCAGCTATGTGTTCTGAATAATTATACAGTCTAAGCCTCTACCTCCTCATCTACAATATGGTTATCATCATATCTATCTTACAGCTTCATTTTGAGGATTCAATGAGATAAAGTAGCATAGCACCAAGTAAGAAATCACGTTAGCTATAATTATTACCAATAAGCAATTCATAACACATGTGACTGCTCCATGACATACTTACTATGTAAGAAGGAAATGTGAGTTTAATAATACATTATTCATTATTTTGCAGTAAGTAAAAGTAAGCAAATAAGCAAAAAAAAAAAAAAAAAAGCAAAAAAGTACTTATAAGGAAAACCACATAGACCATAAACTTGATTTCTAGCATTTATCTTTTAGTTACTACAGTGACAGTAACATTTTCTCCCTAATGTGGAAGTCATATATAAGGGACTGACATTTTTTAACACTAAAAATAGGCAGTTTTTTCCCATTACTCAGATAGCTTTCTTTTATTTAAGGTTTTCATTTCATATTTAAACTTGTAGAATAGTAGATAGAGCAACTACAGGTAACAGCATTATAAAGAAATCTAAAGCGTATTCTGATTGATGAATTTAATCAAGCCTGGTTTTCAGAAATAGCTATCAAATTTAGCCTTAGGCTATTGATAACACTGTCCACACCTAGGATTGCCTCACCACCTCATTCCTGTTAGCCAGAGCTGTAGGGAGTCTTATCTAGGAAACAAAGCCCATGAATTTCCGGACCCAAAGTGAAAAGAGATTAACTCTTGTCCTGAAATAAATCACTTCCCTGTGTTTTTACTTCCAGACTTCTAACATTTTCCCTGCAGTTTTGGATATGACCAGAACAGTTACATGTCTGTAACAAAGGCGATTTATTACATTCAGATCCCAAATCAAAATGGGAACCTGCAGGTGGGAATTCTTCCTTGTGACCCACATGACATGGTTTGTTTTTTTTCAATATAGCTGACAATGACTCTCCTGATACCTAACATACCCTTGAAGAATGTCTTTAAAGCGTGAGAAGAGGCCCAATGTAAATTAGGTCGTCATTAAGTAATGCAAGAGAAGTACAAATGTACACTCCCATGGCTACTAATAAAGTTGTTAAGTGAGCAGATGTCGTAAGGCTGATTACCAGCATTAATCAGTGGTAAGAATCTGACATATTCATTCATTTTTTTTTCTTCTTAGAATATGTAAATAGCACATAGGCTGGGACCTTTCTAAGGCAGCAAAGAGTGATTGAGAAAGTGGTGACTTCCTTCTCCTTGCTCCTACCCTCAGGGTGAAAAAGAACTCCTCTCCCACAAGTTAATCATGATGCTGTGGAAATGGACATTTTCTATGCCCCCAATGATCAAGTACCCTGCTCTTTCCAGTCTGTGGCTTTTCTGCATCTCAATAGCTTTGTTATGTTAGGGAACAACTAATTCAGGACCCTTAAATTCCAATTCATCATAAGACCATTGCCTTGGAGTGAAGGAACTGCTTTTGCAGAATCCCTGAGTCATAGTTAGGCATTCACTTCTTCAATTCATCTAAAAGTGGAGGACTCATTGGCTGAGGACAAGGTCCATAGTTAGTCCAGATATAAGAAAATTCTGATTCATACTGAGCCAAACTGATCCTCAAGATGTCCTCTCTTTTGTCTAAGTTCTCTACTTGACAGCAAGGGGAGTTTCAGTGTAAATTGTGGAAATGTCCCCCAAAGCGGCCTTTGATGGGGAACCTGTGGATGGGGGTAGCTGTTCCCTCAAACTCTCAGCAGGAGGGCAAGCACTCAACATGAAGGAGGCCCAAAAATAGGTGATAGGGCCCCAAACACCTGGTTGGAGCTTTAGGGCAAATTTCTAATTCCTGGCTGAGCCAGCCTAGATTGCAAAATCATAAGAAATAATAAATTGTTGTTTCAAGTCACTTCAATTTTAATTCACTTTGGAGTGGTTTGTTATGCAGCAATAGATCTGAAACATGGACATATACTCAAAGTTTCAAATAAAACTTCATGGACTAACTGAAGCCCATTCCTAGGCTCCTTAGAGAACCACAAGATGGAGTTTTACATCCCTGGACTGGAATATTCCCAGGCCCCAGTCTTACAAACCTTGGGCTGCTTTTCAAGTATTTGTCCTGAGTGATGTTATTCTACAGTAGCATCTTTTTCTGCTTATACAGTAGGACCACTTTTATGCCTCTCTCATATCATTCCCTCTGCTTGGAATGCCATCTCCCACCTGAATTTCCTCTTAACAAAACCCTAACCATCCTTCAGGCCCATCCATGTGTTCTTCCTCAAATAGGTCTTTCTTTATCTTCTCCCCAGTGATATAGCCCATCACCATCAGTGGTCATAGGTAGAGTGGGGTTTGGAATGACTTTCGCATACGTATCTCTCCCTCCTTAGGCTCTAAACTGCATTATTTCATAGTTTCATATGGCACTCATACTGTCTCTTTTATCATAATGATATGTGTACTTTTTTCCTCCTAAATGTACTCTAAGGAACTGTTTCCCTCATCTCTGCATGCCCATTAGTGCCTGCTTCCAGTCCTCCTCCTTCTAACTCCGCCAGTACTGGCCTAGCTTAGATTAATGATGCCAAAGGAATTCGTGTCAGAACAAGGCCTTTGTAGTCATCTGATTCCCACTCCTTCAAAGCTGTGTGACAGCAGCATGTGTGCAAATCAGGACCCTGTTAATAGGACTCCAGAGTATTTGGAAAGAGCTC